TTTGAGTGTGGAAGGAAAAGTAGAAGGAAGAGGATGAGAAGGGTCTGTGGACAGATGCATGCTCAGCTATGTACAGCTTTGCTCCTGAATCTGAAGTACACTTTAAAATGTCAAGTTACAGACAAAAATCACTGTTAGAATCTTGGCAACATAACCACAAGAGACTTAAGTATGTGTTGGACAATCTTCCTCCTCTCTGGGTTAGGAACAGAATTACCTGAAACACTGAAGCTTTTAAAGTATCATTGCTTGTGGGGGACTTTCTTCAGCGTAAATAAACTGAAGCTTTATGGGACACAGCAGCATCCAGAAGAGACAAGAGACTCCTTGCCAGGTGCAGAAATGGTTGTTGGAAGGACAGCCTCGTCCCTCTAGGGGTGGGGTTGAGTTGCTGTGTCTGCTTGTCCCCAACACAGCTCCTCCCTTCAGAGCAGTATCTGGCCAGCTGTGGCATTTTACTGGAATCCAACAGGAACACCAAGTCTGTAAAGCCAGGACTTCACACAAGGCCGTTCCTGAATCCACCACAAGCTTCTAATCCTGTGAGCCTGCTCATTCTGCAGAAGCCCCTTGGCTCCAGTGCTACCCTGCACAGAAGCTGGCATCGTGCAGGCTCATTGCAGAGAGCAGAGCAAGGGGCACTGCAGGAATCAGCCTTTCCAGAGGCTGGAGGGTGCATCCAAGGCAACACCCTCAGCTTCACCAGCTAGCCCCTACTCTTGTGCTATCAATCTTCTGGGTGGGGAACCAGGCTTGAATTCCTACTTTTAAGTTACAGTTAGGTCCTCTGGTTGTGCAGGTGGTGGCCTGAGGCTGTAGGTGGGGTAGGCATGCTGCTGTAGAGCTCAGCCTGTGCTCTCTGCTGGGAAAAGGCAAGAGGGAGAGCAGAGCTGCAAGGAGAATTCTTCAAATACATGTACCCTTTATAAGCTGCTGCTCTTTTGGGCAACAACAGTCTAACACTATAGTCACGTTTGGTGCCTGCCTTATCACCACACATCCACTGATTCTAGACTCAAGGGACAGACAGCACATCTTTTTGAAGGTCCCATGGTTGCAGTGGTCTCTGAACACCAGCTCTTCTTGATACTGAAACAATAATTAATACACAAGTGAAGACTTAAGTAAACTCATTTTGCCTCTTGTTAAAAGATTATTCTACTCTCTAAATGACAATATAAATACCAAACAAGCAATTGCTGTTTAAAAATCCCTCCTCAACCCAAACTTGCCTGGGAAACAAGATTTGAGAAGCTAACAGGACCAACTTCATCAGGCTTAGCCTTTCAGTAACAGATGCTTGCCCCTGGATCAGCTGGATCACTTGGAGTCCTCAAAACCTGAGCAGGATCTCTTCTGAGATTCAAAGCACCCTGGCCACGCTCAGGGTAGCTGTAGTTTGCAGAGGTGAGTGAAGACAGCAGCCCAGGCCTGGTTCTCCAAGTAATCAGAAGAGTTATTACTGTTGTTACTTAGCATCTCAAAAAAAAAAGTCTGTGCTGACTCCAAGTTAGCACCCTAAAGTAAGGTGCTACATTAAATGTCTCATTTGTAGCAGCTGCTGTGGGACTTTGTTATTCACTGTACATCTTGCTAGCTTCATCCAAAGCTAGAAAGATTTATAACTTCATTATTCTGTGAATAGTCTGTATCCATAAATACAGGGGACTAAAATCCTGCATTAACTTACACCCTCCAGCTTTACAGAGACTCTAAGGAATATGAATCAGTGCAAACTGAATTTAAAAGTGTTTTAGACATAGCATCATGAACTAGTGTTCCACACAACCTCCCATTCACATTATAAGTTTCTTGTTTGAGTTTGTTTTAAATGAAACTAGCACTCTTTACATCATTATATGAAATATATTCATGTATTTTTCAGAAATATATATTTATAATGTGTAACATACTGTATAGTTCTCCATTCCAGGATTCATTGTAATACAAGCATAAGGAATTTAATAAAAGCATCACGATAATTTTTTTCAGCTATTTTATTAATGAACACCTGGATTTTAGTATAGCAGCTGCCACACACTTCAGGTTTCAGGTGAGAATAGCTGGTCAAGAAAGGACTTGTTGCCTCCAAGCTTTTAAAGAACTTTTTTAGCTCTGGCAAAGAAGCAAGTTTGTTTTTTTTCTTTCAGGCTGATGCTGTTCTCAAAAGATCCACAGGATGAAGAGAGCCTTTAAAAAGCTCAGATACAGTCAACTGTGGATGTTCATTTTGAGCAGTCCTGTATTAGATGTGAGAATCTAAACCAATGTGTGCAGCAATCCACAACACCTTTAGTTCAGCTATGTATGGAGTGAAGCTAAAGAGGGTGCTGGCACAAATCACATGCAGTGACTCAAAAGGAAGTAGAGGAGAAAAGTCAATGAGACCCAACTAAAGAAAGTAGAGGCCTATGAAAGAAAAAGGCCAGAAAAATCTGTGAAGGTAGAAGAGCACACTTCTGCAAGAGTGAAAACTGCAGAACAAAGCAGCAATGAAAACTCCTTCTCCACTGGGGTGTTAGTGGAACAGGCTAGGAAGAAGGGACAATGCACCAGAGGAGGAAGCTGAAACAAAGCTGAATCAGAGAAATTCACTCAACAGCAAAACCCATTCCTGTTAAGCAGGTATTTATTGCAGCACTAGATGCACAGGGGATCCAATTTCTCCCTCTCCAGTCCCTCTTACAGAAACCAGTGTTACTCAGCACTCATCCTGTGCAGTGCTTCACGTGGACAACTTGCAACCTACTGTTGCTCATGCTCTTCCCCTCCTGCTAGGGGCCAAATAGGAAGCCTTAAGCACAGACACCTTCCCAGAGTGGATAAAGGAATTAGGTTTACCCACCTTCACTGCACATGCCCTGTGCTAAGCAGTGGGTCCATCACAGAAAGATCCAGCTCTTGGATCAACCAGATCAAGAGCCCTCAACCAGAAGGGACAGTCCCTGCAGGGGAATCTACCTGATCCCATGAGACTACATGCCCAGAGCACACTGCCACTTTGGGACAATTCAGCAGCCCCTTGGAGGCCAGCAGGGAGCAGCTGGGCAGGGACTCTGCTAGCCCCTTCAGCCTCCAGGAAAGCATCTAAGCTCTTGTAAGTATTTCTGCCTGCCTTACAGAAGCTTGAGAAGACTCCAGCAGCAGCCAGGAAGATGTTTAGATCTTGACTAGCACACACAGTTAAAAGCAGTGCAAGAGCAGTCTGGTGTACTTAAGGTGTGGTCTGTTACTCCTGTAATTGCCCAGTTTAGCAGCTGTCTGTAATGCTAATTAAGACTTGTCATAAGTCATATTAAGAGTTGACACTGTGCTTTTCCTAATTTTTAGAGCTCCACCTATACCAAGGTCATTTAGCTGCCAGAGGCACTTCCTAAAGGAGGAAGCTGTTTGACCTGTCTCCAGCTGATGATTTCTCCAGACTGTGACCCCTTTCACCCTCCCACCATATAACATGAAGGAGTCTTATCTTCTCTTCTTCTGATTACATTTTAAAAATCAGGCTAGATCAAGGCTGGTCATCCTGGAAGCAGCAGGGGAAAGCAGTTCTGCTAGAAAAATAAAGACATAAGATGATTCCTGAAATTTCTTGCTGGAGTAAGGAATTGAGAAGCAGTTTCTACCACCTGTTAAACACCTTCCTATCACACAGTATTGGCAGAAGCCACTTAAATAGAACAATATCTGCTACCTCAAGTGAAATACTGTTCAGTTCTTTGCTTGAAGCTTCTAAAGCAAAAGAACTGCTCTACCTCTTTAAAGGCCTCTAAGCAGTATGTTTAAGGCTACTTCCCTATCTTAACAGGGAGTTTCTAATCAAGCCTGTTGGGGGAAAAAAAAAAAAGGAAAAAACCCCAATCACCACATTTTTCCTTCCCTTCAAGCATACTTGCTCAAGGACTACCCCATCAGCTTTTAAGAGATCTTGGTGGGAGTGCAAGCACTAGAGCTCCTCCAGCCTGGGCAGAAAGAGGGATGGTAGAGTCCCTTTCCTTCACCATCAGGAGAAGTTTGCTGGACTGCTTTTGGCCAGAACCTCAGGAAGCTGAGAATGATCCTGCTCAGCTGCTGTGACTGACCACACCACACTGAACTACTCCTGATGCTTAGAACAGGTAAGTTTTATTTTTAATCTTAGAAAAGCACATCTGTAGCATTGTTAATGCAAACACTGGTGTCAAATTACCATTAACCCAAAAGCTTTGAAGACTCCTGGCTGCTCTCACATGAAGGTTTATGATTAATATTAAAATCCAGTTTGGATTTTTAGCCAAATCCAAAAGTTTAAGCCATCTAGGCACTTTGATTTTTTTCTGTTGGAACAAAGTTTTCCTGTTCTCATATTCCAGAAAAAAAAATCCTGTCCATTTGTTTTCAGAGCAATAGAGGTGGGTTCACAAACAGCATCATTAGGAAGGTCCCTCTGTGTACTGCTTTGCTGTCCCTGCCTCCAAGTCCTGCCACATGAGCACAGCATCAACTTCCATGATGAGCTCAGGGGCAAGTGGGCAATTCCCAGTTCCTTTGCACAAATAACCAGCTCTACATTCACAAAGGAGAAGGCAGCTGCAGGATTTGCTTTTAAATCAGTTTTGCTGCAATTCTCAGTGTTTGAGAGGAGCTAAGATAAGTACTTCCAAAAACCACTTTAGCCACTGACATAAATGCAGACACCATCCAGCATCACTCCTGTCTCAGTCTGCAGCTTCCTAGCAACCTATGGCAAGGACTCTCTCTTGACAGCAAGAGACAGTTAATGCTAATCCCAGAGTGGAATAATAGCCAGAAAGTGAGATGGATTCAGAGAAACTGCATTTGGAAAGCTCTCACACAGCTATCAGAATAATTTTTATCTTGCAAACAGTCTTAAAAGGCTTACAGCCAGGGTCTCCAAGACACTTCTACTCAACACTGATGACTCTGGGCCAGGCAGGAGTCAGCCCACAGACCAGGTGGGTTTCACAGCCACTTTACTGCACTACATTGATTTCATGTCTTACAGACACTTTCCTTTGCCACAGCAGAGCAGCTGCAAGCATGATGCACAGAGCTGCCCCAGTTACCACAGCAGCAAAGCCCAGCACCCAAGGGGCTGCAGCATGCACAGCTCCTCCCATGGGGGGAGAGAAGCCCCAGTTAACACTCTCCCAGCGAGGCACACAGACACCTTAGGGGCTCAGCCTTTCTGCAGCAGAGGCTTAGACCAGCCTCCTTCCCCAGCCTCACTATGCTGGGCTGGCATGCTTACCAAGGCCATCTTTGTCTGTATCCAATCTTATCTCATCCTGAAGGAAAAATCACAGGGCCTTTGCTGGAGACGTGGTCCTGAAGAGGATGCTCAGCACTCCTTTTACCTCCTACAGACCAAGACGAAGGTTTTAGGTGAGACGATGTAGAGCTCTGAAGGTCAGCAAAGTGTCCAGGTTGGCTTCTTAACACAAGAAGCTCTGAAGACCAAGCCTGCCATGCAAATCAACACAGCTAAAATCCTCTGAAGATTTCTGCCTTTTTGCCATAAGGACAAGGGCTCTTCCTCAAGGGAAAGGAGCAGAAAACGCCTTGTCAAGCTGTCCGTGGCTCAAGGGAAATAGTCCATAGCCTACATGCCCCTTTATTCCCCATCTTGGAGGCCAGACCCTTGATGCCCCTTTGTATGGGGAAGCAAGAAGGCTCAGACACTTACTGGCTCTACCAGGGCAAGTGGTGATGCAGGACTCCTGTACAGACTGGTGGCACACTGAGGCACTGCAGTGCAGGTACACCTAGAAAGAATGGGACACAACCTGGAATCACTTGGGCACGACCTGTAGAGAAGTGATACCCTGGTGGGCTGCACTGACCCTGGCCAGCAGCAAAGCACCTACACAGACACTTCTCATTCCTATTACCCTGCCCCAGCAGGGTGGTGAGAGAATAGGAAGAGTAAAAGCAAGAAAATCCATAGCTGGAGAGATAAAGACAGTTTGACAAGTGAAGGAGAAAGGGAGAGGGAATAATAAAAATCAAAGCACAAGTGATGCAAAGGCAAATCACCTACCCTGCTCCCACAGGAAGACTGATGCCCAGACAGCCTCTGGGCTATATTGGAAGACTAAATCCTCTGGAGTTTATTGCTGAGCATGACATCATACATCATGGAATATCCCTTTGGGTAATCTGGGTTAGCTGTCCCAGCTATGCTGCCTCCCAGCTTCTAGCCCACACCATGCCTCTTCACTTGGGGTTGAGAAACAGCAGAGTGAGGAGAAAGAGCATAGATGCTGTGTGAGCACTATTCAGAAAATAGCTAGAACAGTTCCATGTTATCAACAGTTTTAGCCACAGGTCGAAAACCACAGAACCATATCACATGCTACAGGGCAAGTTCAATCCATCCCACACAGATGCAGTGAACCTGGTCATGGATAAGGCAGAAGGATTACTTTGGCTTACTTGGGGTCAGGACTGAAGCCTTGGAGCCCTCTGCTGCCTGCTGCAAGGCAGCTTTGATACTTTTACCACACACCCCTTCAAACTCAGTCAGATCTTGCACTACAGCACTTCTCCCTGGCACCTGGAACAGAGCTGCCCAAGCACCACCACAGTGACCACTGCCTGTGTACAGCTGGGACCAGTTTTAAGTATTAATTTATCAGAGGAGCACTGAACAAACACTACAAGGCATGGTGAACTTCATGTGACTTAACTGCTTGGAACCTCATGAGAGCCACAGTTCAGATGCTCCCCAGGTACCAAAAGCTATTTCCAAGTAATTTTGGCCAAGAAATTTAGTTTGGAGAGTACCAGTTAGCATAGTTAGAGTACACATCCCTCTAGTGCTGCACCTTACCTCTACCATATTTGTCTCAGGGACTAGAGAGTTTCTTGCATCAGCTTCTACCCTTCCATTTCAGAATGCAACTTTCCTGGTCTTTGACCCCTGCCTCCCCCCCCCAGGCCAAGAGTCTCATAGTTATGAAGTGTCTCTTATTGCCCACACATGTTACATGTCCTCAGTAGGAAGCTAGGCAACTAGAACAGAATCTTACCAGCCCAGAGAGCATCTCTTGGGAAGCAGTGTCCACAAAAGTGAATGTGTAGAGGGTGAAACGCTGGTAATGAGAGGGGAACCGTAGTCCTGAGGCAAAACTCAGAGGCACCAGCTGTGTTTGATAATTGTCTCCTGCATATGGACACCTGAGAAGGAGACATCAACAGTAAAAAAACAAAACAAAACAACCCCACCAAACCAAAAACATGAGTCATTCCCCCAGCCCAAAGATATTTACAAGTAACTTACCCATCCACCAAAATAGGCCACTGTAGCCCTTGCTGGGGATTGATACTTGGTGTTGCCCAGCAGTGGTGCAGGACCAAAACCAGGTCTGGGTCTGTTCTCTGAAGGATCTTGACTTCTGCATAAACAGGATCTCTCAGAGTCTTCACAACAGGATAGTCACTGTCAGTATAGTAGGAAGCATAGCTTCCATCTGGGACAGATGAAACCCAAGAGCCATTTCAGAATAGGAACAAACAGAAAGAATCAACCTGAAAGCATCATTTATAGCCACATCAGTTAAGTTCCCATCATGGCAGGGAAGTAGCAGTGCTAGGTTCACCAATCAATATTCCCTTATTACTCAGCAGAGACCAGAGCCCTGCACCAGGAAGTCTGAGCAAGTCCTGCAAACCTCTCATACCTGAGGCAATACAAAGTTCCAAGGAGAGGACCTGGCTGAGACACAGCAGGGAGTGGTGACAATGTGAAGACCTGAACACTCAAGGGAATGAAGCTCCCAATGATGGAGTAACTACAGCGGACATGTAACCTGGTAGGACAGGAAAACCCCAGATTAGGCAGATAAAGGTCACTCTGAGATGTCTTTTCTCCAAGATGGTAACATCTGCTTTAATTAGTCACATCCCCAACCTTTCCTCAAACAGCTCCTTTCAACAAGTACTTGAAATTCTCTTCACAGTTCAGATTTGAGGCTCCAAAGTGTCACTGATCAGCACCAGCTGTATTCCCACTAATCAGAGACACACCAGCCCTTAGCCTACCCCAGCACCACGTTACAGATTCAGAGCAATTCACAACACCTAGAAACACTAGCACTACAGTATTACCTGAGTGTCCTGGTTCCGTGTAAAAAGGGGTTCAGGGCAGGACCCACACGGAACAGAACTATGTACTTGCCTCTCCCCCTCTCCTCGAGGGAGAGAGAGACACTTTGGAAAAAAAAAAAAAAATGAAGTATATTGTTCAACAAGGAACAGAAAACGAAAAAGGGAGGTAAGGAAAATAATATATACAAAGATTAGGGGAATAATACAAAAAATAAAATATACAAAACCCTCAGAAATGGTTCCAGGGTCCCACAGAGTGAAAGGAGAACTTTCCTCTCCGAGCTCCAAGGCAGGAGTGAAATAAGAAACCACTCCCTGCCTCTTATCAGAGTGTGTGTGGGAAGGGGAGGGAATACAATGGTTTCACCCCCACCCGGGGTCCTCCCAGTTGCTGGAAGGTCACGACCCCATTCCAAGCCTCAAACCACAACACTGAGAGTGCTATTCCCTAGTGACAGAGCCAAGGCTCACAGTCTTCACATCCCTGGATGCCACCAACTCATTCTCATAGATGGCCTGGTCTCCAGTCACCTGAAATGACAGACCAGGCGCTGTCACTGCAGTAAAGTCAAGCTGGATTAATGCCAGGCTGGAGAACAACATTTGGCCTCTGGAAGTCTGTAGGATGCCCATTAAGTAGCCAAAACCATGTTAGGTTGTTCCATGTCTGCAAGCTCCTGTTATTTCCTGCCTAGTGACAGCTGCAGCTCTTACCTGAAAAGTGGTGCCACAAGCAGAGAGTGGGAACTGGAACACAACAAAGGCATTGTTCTTCACAACAGGAACACAGCCAGCACTGTGCCCACTGGCCAGCTGCACAGAGTCCAGGTGGCATGGTCACATCCCAAGAGACAGCAATGGAAAACTGGCCATCTGCTGTGCAATGAGCCATCACTGGAGGATGACATATAATCAGTCTTGAGCTCAGGAGGAAAAACAATGGAAAGGAGACTCAAATGGCACAGAAAAGACAAGGCCAGCAAGTTCTGCAAGCTCTCCTGCCTGTAACCCTCAAAGCAAGCGCAAACAAGACAAGTGTAACCAGGTCCAACAGCAACACTGACTCTGGCCAGGTCTGTTGCAAAGGGCTGGACACTTCAATGGGACAGATCATTCTTGATAGTCAAAACCACAGCCCTAAGCCACCTAGTACATGGTAATCCTGCTCTGCCAGGGAAGTGAGGAATAGCAGTTCATAGGTCCTCCAAGAGGAGGAGAGGACAGTTGCTCCCATTTACCTGTGTTACCAAAGTAACAAGGCTTCACTCTGTCCTTTGGGTCGTAGCAACAGCCTCGCACTTCACAGTCTCCCTGGCTGGTAGGCAAGGGGCCACATGGCAGCCGGTCTTGGCTGAAGGCAGCAGAACAGACACTACTGCTTGGAGCATCCAGAGCTGAAAGAAAGAGCAAGAGTTTGCAGCTAAAGCACAAGATCAGGAGGACAATGGCACCGAGGACACTTGTGTCGGTACGGGCGCACAGAGCAGCGCAGAGTCCCCAGGCAGGTGCTAAGGAGGAACTTTATTTACAAAAAACCTGGTTTTTTTATGCTGTTAGTCAACCATTAATTTACATACTTTTTAGGCACAACAAACTCACTTTAACCAACCACCAAACACCACGGTGCAAACACACAGCATGCCTCGCCTCCTCTCTTCTAGCTGAGTCGCTCTCCCAGAGCCCTTCTCTGCTTAGCCTAAGTTCCAGGCCAGAGTCATGATTTTACCAGGCCTTCCCTTACTTACAAAGCTGTAGCTATCAGCTATACACACTGGTGGAAGGTGTCCTGGTAACTGTATACAAATCAAGGAAAGTTAGGCTCAGACAAGGGTCAAAAGCATGGCCTGGAGCTGGCACAGAAGTCTGCTTAAAAGGGGCATGCATTTCTTCAGAACAGAAATTCCCCATGAAGCCATGTACAGGAGACAGGACTACATAAGATCTGTCAGGACAAAGTGTTCTGGATCAATTCTGCTAGTTAGGAAAGTCACTGTACCTAGTCTCTGGCTCAATCCCCTGAGCTGGCAAGGACTTGTGCAATCAGAGTATTGCTAGGATAAACAAGGAGCATTCACCTGCTGACTCTACAAAGGAGGCACAAGTCACCAGCAAGTTGGGGCCTCCTGTGTCCAAACCCTTCCCTAGGGAGTTGTCTGCACAGCAATAGGGCTCCTTTCCCAGCCCCTAGACTGACAAGGAACAGCTATACAAAAGGAAGGATGCTCTTCACCACAAGACACAAGCAGGGTTTCCCAAGGAGCTGTCAACATCTTACCAGGAATGTCCACAGGGCACTTGAACAACTTCTCCTCATAAAGAACCTTTTGTCCAGCAGCATCTATTCCTTCAAGCCCAACCAGCATGAGGTAACTGCCATCCTGGGAGAAAGCCACACCAGTCAGGGCAGCCAGAGCAGCAGTAGCCACAGTCCCAGCAGAGCCACTAAGGTCACTCACCCATTTGAAGACGTAACAGCCAGTATAGGAGACCAATACTTTCCTAGAGCCCCCTGGAGTCCCAGATACCAAGAGCCCGCAGTCAGAGTTATTCTGTAGAGCATGTGCCTTCCCCTCAGTATCTAGGTAAAGAAGAGACAGCAGCAGAGGCATCAACATCCCACATTGAAGATGTGGCCTATGATTATTATAATCCTACGATTATGGCCTCAAGTTGTGCCAGAGCAGTTCTTTATTGGATATTAGGAAGAATTTCTTCACTGAGAGTGTGGTTGGGTACTGGAACAGGCTGCCCAGGGAGGTCATGGAGTCATCATTCCTGGAGGTGTTCAAAAAATGAGTAGATGTAGCACTTGAGGCTATGGTCTAGTGGTTAGGGAAATGTTGGGATGAAGGTTGGATTCGATGAACCTAAATGTCCTTACCAAACACAGTGATTGTATGACTCTCTAGGAAACAAGGCCCTATCCAGTATTAGGATCTGGGACAGCAGGAGTATGCGAGGGAACACAGCAGCCAAGACTATTTAGATCCAGGCACAGCACTCCACCAAAACTCTGGACTGTTGAGTCATATAAACAGCCCCCTGGTTATACAAAATGCACTGAAGCTGTTAGGCAACACTTCACATCGAAACCTGCCCCCTTCTTCTCATTCCAGGCATACTTCTGCACTGTGCAAAGATACAGAAATAAGAAAGCCTCTTAACACCATAGTCACTTACCCCAAGTAGTCAGCACAAAGGTCGCGTTCCCTTCCCAGCCTGGAGGTAAGGTGAGCTGTAGGCTTTCTTGGCTACAATCCAGCAGGGTAGGATTAGAAAAAACACTACCCTGAGCCTCCACAACAAAACCAAGGAAACCCCAGAGCAGCATAGCTCCAAATGCAGTCCTAAACTGCCCTACAACACTCATCCTACTCTCTCACTAAGGACCATAAAGCAGCTACTCTTAGCCTAGCCCTTTTAAATTGTGCAGCCACCAATGATCAGAAATTCATGAAGTGTCCAGGTGGACCTAGCCCAGCAGTTCAACACCTTTTATTGCCCTCACCTGGCTCTGAACCCAGCACAGTTTGCTCGTTTGAAGAAAATCACAGGGCAGGAGCTGAGCCTTTGTCAAGAGAAGGGTCTGTATTCACATTGCTAAGCTGAGAGGAGCTCATCTGTGCAATTTATTGTAGATCCCCAGGCAGGCCTTCAAAACCTTTTTCTCACCCTGAGTTACTCCCACTGCTGGCCCATCCAGGAGGTCTGCATGCTTTTCCCCCACGTACTCTATTGCTGCTCTAATTGCTTATTATGTGGCATGAGTGCAAGAAGCTGAGTGACAATGTTCTTCTGCTCTTTTAAAGGTGCCACTGCTTCAAATGCCAGACACAGGGTGACAACATAAAAGCACAGAAATAGCCCTTTGCATGCAATCTGTGGAAAACTACCGAGCTCAGAAGGCTCTGCACACCTAAAAGGAGATTCCCCTTAAACACTCCTTGCTGTGGACTACAGCTCCGTTTGCACTGTGGTTGTGAGGGGATAGCTGCAGGACTGTTCCAGGTTTGGCTGCCAGGTGGCAGGAGCATAGGTTCTGTGGGACCCCTACCCTCAAAATCTGGCAGGTGGGCCCCTAATACAGGCCTGAAACACAGGTAAGGGGAACCTCTGTGATGCCAAGAAAGCTCTGCCTGCCAGCACCCAATGCCTGCCCGTAACTGCAACGTGTCTCACGTAGAGACTTCCTGTCCATGCATCAGGCTACAGCACCCACACTGAGTAAAAGCCTTATTATCTTCTCTTTCCATACAGATGTTTCTGCATGCATGCAATGGAGGTGTGAATGCCTTTACATTGTTGGAGAGGTGATGCCAGATGGTCATGCACTACTTGCTGTAGTGGGAGCACTACCATTGCCTGGGCCATCATATTCTTTTGTAATCTGCTTATTTCTTCGGGACTAGATCATCACACACATCCCAGCACAGTGAGTGGGTTAGATGAGTAGGATTTCTATTCTTGACCCTTAATAATGCACTTCCACTGGTAGCCACCAACACTTCTGCTCTCAGCAGCCTTTCCAGCTCCTGGACATCTGCACATCTCCATGCATCAGACAGCACACTCACCCCTCCAACCAACCCTCAGCAACAGGCATGGGTAGTAGCTGAGTGCAAGGGAGGCATTTCCTCTTCTCTTCCACCTTAGCCCGTAGCTTGCCTTTCCTCCACTGCTGTCCAGGATGCCATGATCCCCGTTGGCCAGCTGGATGAAGAACATCCTTGTGCCTGCCCTGCACACTGCTTATTTCATGCACCAAAAAGGAGCACTGTTCAACAAAGTACAAGACCTCTCCAGCTGCTCTGCACAGCAGGGACTGAAGCAAATGGCTCCCAAGAGCCATGCGTGGCTGTTGTTTGAGCAGCACTCATGAAACAAATGTGGTCATCCCAGAGCATGCCTGGGAACTGGGCAGCCACGGTGGAGAGGCATTCAGGGAAAACATTTGGACTTTTGCAGGGAGGGAGACTTCATCTCTGTAGAAGCTGTGTTGTGCCAATACAGCTTGCCCAAATCTCACAGCCACTGTGTGACTGCTGAACGCTTCATTTGACTGTGTTACCTGCTGATAAGTGGGTAAACAATAAGAAATAAACAAAGTACTTTGGAGCTATAGAGAGACAGTTTTCATTACACTTTAACCTACCAATATTTGTGCTGACAGGGAAGATATCTGCACACACTTGAAGAATGACTCTATGTGAAACAACACTAGGAGTGCTGTAGATCCACCAAGCAATAGCCCTGCTGAGAACAGTTTCAGGTAAACGCCCTGTCCTAATTTCTGCACACACACTTGACAGGTATGTTGGATGATGCAGAGATGAGAGGCAAGTGAAACGAGCCTGAAATTCATAGAAATTAAATGTTTTCTCTGGAAGAAGTTACAGGCTGGCTGAGAAGAAACAGGCACGTCTCTCTTCCTTCAAGAGCCCTTCCTCATCCATTTGGTAGTTCTCACACATTACAATAACCCAGCTGTAAGCACCAATTTAGGTAGCACCCAAGACCACCTATGTAGAGGATGAAGGGAAGTGAGGCAAATGCCTCTGTAGGCCACTACCCTGAAGCTAATCATGACCCCAGCAAGCTAGAATCTTCCTGGGATGTCCATCAGGAAAATGCTGCCCTCCTATCAATTTTGAGCCTAGGAGACTGGGGCAGACATAGCAGCAGTGTGGGAGTTGCCCTGGCTGTTGAAGGCTCTCTAGAGACCTATGGGAAGAAAAGGAACCATTAAACACTCCAAGAAGTGGCAGGAAGAAGAGTACAAAATGCCCTGTTCACTGTGGGACTGCCTCTGATGGCATCGCTGTGTGTCCAGCCCATTCTGTGCACTGGACATGGAACAAAATGGCCAAAACACTCCTCCAGAGAGGCATTTGCAAACAGCAGGGATACCAGCACTACGTGTCCCCAGGATGAGGGGTGTTGGCTGCACAGTGGGCAGGAGTGGCATTTCACAGTGCCACCTTCTGAACTGAGGTCCAAACAGGGAAGGGGCAGGCAGCAACCCTGCAGGATATTCTACATGAGAACAGATTTTCTTTGAGCTTGTGCTTTATTTTAGAAAATAAAGAGACAAAGCTACAATACTTTTCTTTGAATGTCACAGAAATACAGAATAGCACGGGTTGTAAGGGACCTCTAGAGATTATCTAGTCCTACTCCCCTGCCAAAGCAGGTTCACCTAGAGCAGGTTACACAGGAACATATCCAGGAGAGTTTTGAAAGTCTCCAGAAAAGGAAACTCTACAACCTCTCTGGGCAGCCTGTTCCAGTGTTCCATCAACTTCACAGTAAAGAAGTTTTTCCTGATGTTGCAGTGGAACTTCCTGTGGCCCAGTTTGTGGCCATTGCTCTCTGTCCTATCACTGGGCACCACTGAAAAGAGACTGGCCTCATCCTCTTGACACCCGCCCTTTAGATATTTATAAGCATTTATAAGATACCCTTCTCAGCTTTCTCTTCTCCAGGATAAACAGACCCACGTCCCTCAGCCTTTCCTCGTGAGAGAGATGTTCCAGTCCCTTAATCATCCTTGTAGTCCTCTGTTGGACTCTCTCCAGTATTTCCCTATCTCCCTTGAACTGGACATTACTCCAGATGTGGTCACACCAGGTCAGAGTAGAGCAGCAGAACTTCCCTCAACCTGCTTGTCACACTCTTCTTAATGCACCCCAGGATACCGTTGGCCTTCTTGGTCACAAGGGCACACTGCTTCTCATGGTGAATTTGTTGCCCACCAGGATCCCAAGGTCCTTCTCCATGGAGCTGCTTTCCAGTAGGTCAACCCCTAACCTTTACTGGTGCATGGGGTTATCCCTCCCCAGGTGCAGGACTCTGCACTTGTCCCTGTTGAATTTCATGAGGTTCCTCTCCTCCCAACCCTCCATCCTGTCCAAGTCTCATTGAATGGCAGCATAACCTTCTAGTGTATCAGCCACTTGTCACAGTTTCATTTCATCAGCAAACTTGCTGAGGCTACACGCTGTCCCTTCATCCATGTCATTGATGAAGATGCTGAACAGGACTGGACCCAGTACTGACCCCTGGGGAACACCACTAGCATCAAGGCTCCAAATGGACTCTGCTCTGCACAACCCTCTGAGCTCTATTGTTTAG